TGAGGTGGGTATATGGCTTTAGTAATATTACCACTTCCATCTTTATAAGATCTTTCTAAAACCTTTATGTAAAGTGGTAAATAAGTGGTTATAAACCAAGGAACAAAATACATAATTTGATTATGTAATGCACAAGTTTCATAAAATTTTTGAGAAATATTATTTAAATCTTCTTTACTATAAGTATCAAAAAATCAAGTTTTAAACCGGTTCCATTTATTACTAAAAAAATCCTTTTGAACATATTTTCTAGCTTGTAACCCTGGACTAAAATCTATTTGGTGTGGAATCATTAAACATCATTGGGGTTGAAATCCATTTCGGATGTAGAAGGAATATCCTTATTAGAAATATTATCATTATCCTGAACAATATTAGTTTGAGGGTTAATCTTAACCATTTCAACAGGCTTATCACTTTTAGTAGAAATAGTGTGTAAAGATGCAACACGATTTCGAGCTGGTCCATAGACTGGTTCAACAGGAGAACTATGTTGAATTGCAGGTAAAAGTCTATGATTGGAAAATGAATGCCTATTAGGACTAATAGTAGGCAAAAGTCTATTATTAGAAAATGACTGCCTATTATAAGTGGAACTATTATCATAAAAATTGAATGCAAATCCTACCATCCGGATTTTGAGTAATATGAGAATATTCAGTATTACTGACAACATTTGTTATTTGACTTGGGGATATAACTGTCAGCAAACTAAATGGAAGGTCTAACCTTTTACTCGAGCAAGATGTTTGTCTTAATCTAATACATACTCTTATTGAGCCCATGTATCTAGCGATTCTAACCGTAAATGAAGATGCCCCTTTTCAACATATTTAACGGGCTAAGGTTCACGGCTTGCTAGACGGAGCCACTAAGGCAAAGCCAATAAGAGTAGTACTAGATTAGACTGTACCACCATCTCGAAACCAAGCCAAGAAACTATATAAAAAAATCCTTTATATTTTGATAGAGGCCAGATCTTTCATGGTGTATATAGGAGAGAAGTTAGATATATAGATATGCAATTTCTTAGCCGGACATAGTCACGACCAGAGAGGAGAGACTAGAGAAGAAACTTAAAATTAAAGTAAAATAAATACCTCTTGAGGCCGGGATGCAAGGCCTGAATGCAATGAACTGGAGATTTTATTTACTTCAACGGAAAACAGTGTACTTACAATAGAGAGAGAGAGAGAGAGATTTACTAGAGAAAGAGAGTTTTGGCTGATGCCTTCTCTCGGAATGAAGAATGATCCTATATATAGAAAGAGAAAAGAACATAAAGAATCTATGCACAGTAAAGTGGGTCCTATATGTGGGTCCCTTATACAGTGAATTTACTGTGTATACAGTGTTTCTACTGTATAAACAGTGTATTTACTGTTTAGTGGGGTCTGTATTCAGTGTTTTTACTGTGTAAACAGTGTATCTACTGTTGAGTGGGGTCTCCGGCGGCTTCACTGTTGATCACACTCCACGTCTCTCTAATTCTTTCATCTGCTGGATGAAATCTTCCGCATTCTCTATGGCTTCATCAGATAATATCTTCTCTGATTGAATAGGCTGGGAATCTTCTCCAATATCATCGTTGCTAGTTTCACTCCGCATTGAAGTGTCAGATTTTTCATACTGATTAATAGATTGAAGCAAGTTTCTTTTTACTTCTTCCAAATATTTATTAATCATCTCATCTTTATCTCCTTCTTGAAAAGAGATTCTTCTAGCAATATGCTTAATTGAACTATCGTCAATTATTCCCTTATGGGGAGCTGCTGAGTATTCTTGGATTTTTGTTTCAATAGAATCCAAGAGTTCTTGACCGTATAACATTTTTGTCTTGGGATCCTTTTTCATTAATTTATCCCAAAAATTATTGTAAAATGTCCTATATAAGCAAGGAATCTGTTCTTCAGTGAATCCCAGCTCGGGAGTCCATTTATGAATCCATGGAATAGAGAATTCTATAAAGAAATATATTTGATCATTTTTTTCCAAATAGCAGATATGATCTGCGTGGTATAACTCAGTCAAATCTGGCGAAACTTTAGTCCATTCTTTGTATAACATAAGAAATGGGTCAGGTAATATCTTGACTGTTGGACCGTGGTATGACCACCAATTTAAGAACCAATTAGGAATTGGACCTTCAAATATCTTTGCACATACCTTTACGAACCAGATATGTTTATGTCTCTCATTATTATAATAAAACACTTTATCAAAGGCTTGGATATAATCCCAATATGTGAAATTCATATGAGATTTGTTGAGGCTTATCTGCATTTCTTTCATTGTGAAAATCCCCCAATCTTTAACAAATATAATCTGTTTAATAATAACTTTTGAGAAGTTATAAATATTCTCATCTGTGCTATAACCAAAAAAGTGTTAAAATTCTCCACTGCCTGTGCTGGTGAGAATAGTCTCATAACAAGAATAGATTTTGTATGACTCACTCGGATAATATAATCCATTAATTAAATACCTTTGGAATATCTTCCAGGGTTCATCTTTTCTCTGTATCTCAGAATTTTCTAAAAGAAATATCATTTCTTTTTTAGATAATTTTTCATAGGACTTTATATCATCAGTGTCCTCTTTGGCAATTGAAGAAAGCGTATCACTTTGCTTTTGAGCAGTCAAATATGCCTGCAAATGACCGTATAACGGGTTGTCTTCTGGACATAATATTCAACATTATTATTATTATTATTATTATTATTATTATTATTATTATTATTATTATTATTATTATTATTATTTGTTATTATTATTATTATTGAGACGGTATTTGACATATAAAGCTGACATAGAGTTCATTCAAGCAAGTTCTAGGCAGGAGATAATCCCCTAGGAGTTTTAGTACAAGAAGCCAAGGTAAGGCACGTGATGGGACTCATGACAAATAATAGGTTATCAGAATTGCAGAGAAGGCTTAAGGTAGGTAGAAACCATTCAAATCGCACACATATAATGGGCGTGCATCTGAGCTTAGAGTTCAAACAGGTTCAGATGCTAGAAAAGCACAGTGGTACAGAATAATTCCAAAGAAAACATGAATACAAACAGAGGCAAACAGTAGCATATTGATTTACAAAGGCCTAAATGACATGAGCATACAAAGCATGAACACAAGCAAGAGAGAATGAAATTGCGAGAGCCTCAGTACTTACTAGTATGCAGAATTAACGAGCAAATAAGGTAGAAAAATAAATGCCCGCAGCATCTTGCTTATCAGTTGCAAAGAGATAACAGCAAAAACCCAAACCTTTTTAGTGTGTTAGAGTTCCAAAGGGTCTTAGATGAACCCCGGGCAGTGCTCACACTGAGAGTGGTCAAACAGTCAAATTTCAGTAGCCTTGTCTTTCAGCCGGCCAAGAGCCCAAGTTTTAGAATAGTGCAGAATAAGTGAGAGTGAGAGAATAATAGTAGCTCATGTCCGATTAGGGGAATTANTGTTATTGTTATTGTTATTGTTATTGTTATTGTTATTGTTATTGTTATTGTTATTGTTATTGTTATTGTTATTGTTATTGTTATTGTTATTGTTATTGTTATTATTATTATTATTATTATTATTATTATTATTATTATTATTATTATTCTTGTTATTGTTATTGTTATTGTTATTGTTATTGTTATTATTATTCTTGTTATTGTTATTATTATTATTATTATTATTATTATTATTATTATTATTATTGTTGTTATTATTATTATTATTATTATTATTTATTTATAAATATCTTAAGATGTTACTTCTTTAAAGAAAAGTTTTATTGCTTTCAGTTGAATGACGGGCTGCGAAATAAAAGAATTATTGCATCATTTCGTTGTGCAAAGTTGGACATTCATTTCTCAATTTGTTTTGGTGATAAAATGTTATATGTTCAAAAACTATATAAAGATTATTCTAGCTCACTACTATTGAACTTGATTAAATCACATAATTGAATTGAGTTTCATCCTTTTACACTTCGAAAGGTACGGATTTTTACATTTTTTTAGTATCCATATTGCTGATTACAAACGCCACAAGATAAGACAATTCGAAAAAAAAATATTCGTTTCATAAATCATACAGTATAAAATTTGTATGCATTGATCAAGATACTCTACCAATTATTTGATGCAATCCTCTATCTAATCTTACAATTAGAGAAGAGTTTAAGATTTTTAATCATGGGATGCCAAATACACCACATTCATACCTCATTTGTCATAATAGCTACGAAATTGTTTATTAATAAATACTTTCAAATTGCTTTTACTTATGTATATATATACTATTCAAGTTGGCGACAATAAATGCAGATGTTGCTTACATTATAAAACTGTTTTTACTCTTACAGTAAAATTTATCTATCTGAGTGGTTAGACAAGCAGAGAAGATCTTATGTCACTGGTGACCGACGTGTCTATCTAGTATCGAGTACTATATTAATTTACTATGCTTAAATGATTTAATTTGATAAAAATATTTATCAATTAACTATGGATAGGAAAAAGAAATCTAAGTGCAAACACGTGTCATACATATATTTATTTGGTATAAACATCCTGTGTGTATAAATATATCTTGTTAAATCTCAATTCTGGATTTTTCCATAAATAATTTCCCTAAATCATATTCATCATAGTATTAAATAACAGCCGTCGGATCATCCATCAATGAAACTGATCAACGGTTAAGACTTATCCATCACATACCAATTAAATCTGCACCATTATAACGGTCTAAAATTACCCGGGAAGGGTAAACACCGAAGAACGAAGTTCAACATTTATTAATTAATCCCTCGAAGTGTGCCGTTTGATGTTCAAACTTTTGTCTCCTTAACGCACCCATAAAACCGTTAACGCCGTTAGTCCACCTCATCAGTCCCTTCCTTCCCAAAGCTAAAAGAACTTAACGTCTAACTAACGGCATCGTCAATAACCCCCTCCCATATATATTCGTTATGTACAAATGTTTTTTTTAATATTATGAAAAGATTTACTTTTCTTTTTTGTGTTTCAACGGGCAAGATTTTTTCCCCTCAATTTCTCTCACTAATAACTCTTAGATTTTTTTGATCTTTTTTGGGTTTCAAAGGGTTTGCGTTTTAGCTGAATTCCCGTCACTTAGAGGTTTGTTTACTGTTAAATTCGTGAAATTTCTTGTTAAAATTTCGATTTTTATTCATTATTGACTGATTTTTAATCAATTCAGCTTTTATTTCATCTTATTCAACTTGATTTTGGCTGATTTGAATTGGGTTTTGGTTATTTTACTGTTGGATTCATGAAATTTTCATTAAATTTCGGTTTTGATTCATTATTGACTGTTTTATAAATCAATTTAAGGTTCTATTTCATCTTATTCAACTATATAGTGGTTAATTTCAGATGGTTATAAAGTTTTGGTTTTTGTTTATTGAAATTTGATATAAAGATGGGTTTGTGGGATCTGGGCTTGTTTAAATTCCTAGTAATTGTGTTATAAATTTACTTATATGGTTCATTATTAGGATTTTAGAGTTATACTTAGTTGAGTTTTTTGTTTCTTTGAATTCGTTTGAAGGTTTTTTATTGGTATGGTGATTTTTCAATTGATTATGGTATTGAATTGGTCATTTATGAAGGTTATGTTAAGAGGAAAATGGCTGAACTGAAAGTAGAGGACTGTTGTACTGAGAATAAGCAATCAGCTGCTGCTTCTAACTCTTCTGTTTCTGAAAATAGTGCTAGTGTTACTTTAAGGTCACCGACAGTATCTAGCCCGACTCCTACATCACCAACTCATAGGTACTGTTGTTTTGACTTTGTTAAATATGTTTAGCCGGTTGATGACTAGAATTGCACATTGTAAAGTTGGTTCTTGATTCTGATTTTGAATTTCATCTTAAGTTCATATCTAGTTTTAACAAACTTCATGATTATTTCTTTTAGTATTTCGATTGAAAGTTTGGGATCTTCCAAAATGGTACCTAGGTGCATTATGTTGTATAAGTAATAGTTAATTATCGTTTTCACGTTTTGGTTTAGGTCATTTGTGGATAAGTTTAGAACTAACTATGTCAACGTGAGCTTGCAAAGCATAGCTGGTTCTAAGTGTGGATTAAGGAGGAGGATTGAAGTAGGTTGACAGCCGGGCGTAAAATAGTGAAACTCTGATGAATCCTTTGAATTGAATATAGTAGAGTGGATGTGAGTGTTCATATAGCCCAATCCCAATGAATTTGTAACTGTGGCATAGTTGATTGTTGTGAATAAGAGTCAAACTGAGTGGAACTCTCTTTTGGAGACATAAGAAAGTGTCTGAACTGGAGATTATCATTGCCATATCAAGAAGAAGAGTTTTTACTGAAAATGTCCTGGTCAACAATATCTCTAGCTAAGTCTTTTCTGCCTTCTATTATTTCTTGCATCCCGACAAAAAGCAAACTGACAATCACCTGAAGCGAATTACTCAACAATAGGATTCTATGATACTATGTATATTGTGCTAATTTTAGAGTTCGGATTGGATATTGAAAATTATTACTTTGTGCTTGTTTTGTGTGAATTTTGCAGGAGAACCTCTGGTCCAATTAGGCGAGCAAAGGGTGGTTGGACTCCTGAGGAGGTGAATAGAATTCCTTATATTTCCAGCAGATAATCTCTTCTGCAAGATAACCTAATAGCTTTAAAGCCTAAATAGCTTTAAATATCTGCTGTCAAGTTTTCGACAGTGGATACTACTGGTTGTTCTGGTAAAATGTAGAACACTGGAACAGTTTGTTTTTGGCGTAATGTGTTGGGCATGTTGAATTTCCGATGCTTCTATAACCCTCATGTATTATTGTTACCGTACACCAGTTTGAATTTCTTTATAATTGCTTCTTTTCTTTTAAATGGCAAGTTCAGCTTCTAGTTTTGCTTCTTGGAATTATGTCTTGATTAGATAAAAATCTCCCCTGCCACAGGATGATTCTTTGAAAAGGGCTGTTGCAGTTTTCAGAGGAAAATGTTGGAAAAAAATAGGTATTATTTCTTAGCTAGTCTCTTTGTTAGTTAGCAATTATGAATTAAACAATCTTGTGGCAACTTGTTTCACCTTGACATGGCCAGGTGTTTCAAAATTGATAGGTGTCCGATGTGGAAATATTGCTATATGACTTATATGATGGTGACATTCACTGTATTTGATCATTGCTGTGGTCTTATCATGAATATATTACCATTTAAACTTTGCTGAATGTCTGTTGGGTGCTGTAATGCTCTTAGTGCATCTTTAATGACAAGCCAAGTCAATATATTCATGTATGTTATTACTTATATATTTCGTTTTGCTTAGGTACAGGCATTTGTTTCTGCAATTTGGATATCATTAGTCATCCTCTTCTTCTTCGTGCTTTTCTTTTCAAGTGAGGTTTTAGCCTTAATGTAGAATTTTGAATTTGGAGATAAAAAGGCTGGCAAATATCGAAATTCTTCAAAATAGATTTTCCAAACTTAGTTTTACTAATTGGTATTAGGAAATTATAGCCTTGTTCTATCAAAGGGTACTTTAACTTTGATGAACTTTAAAGTCTTAATTTTTTTGACAAATATTTAAGTCAGTCTACGTGGCTATCATCTTATGTATCATTTCCTGTTATTTGATTCATGTGGTAACATAGAAATGTGACTTTTGGTCAAAATATTGATTCACATGCAGCCGAGTTCTTCCCGGATAGATCTGAAGTGCAATGCCTGCATCGATGGCAGAAGGTTCTCAATCCGGATCTTGTCAAAGGACCATGGACTCGGGAGGTTTGTTTGCTTTCCTACTTTAGTTGCCTTCTGCACTGGTAATCTAAATTGTGCTTTGACTATCTGGATAATTTCTGATGGTTTTCAACTTTTACTGGTGTTTGCTAACAGGAGGATGATAAGATCATTGAACTGGTCGCCAAGTATGGGCCTATGAAATGGTCTGTCATAGCTAAATCATTGCCTGGTCGAATAGGGAAGCAATGTCGTGAGAGGTAGGATCAGAAATAGTCTGCATACAACATGTTATCTTTGGTAGGATTCCATAGATTCAGCTCGTGTTAAATGAAGGTTGATCTCTATTGTCTTTGACCAACTTTGCCTTCAGCTGTTCATTTATTACCCAACTTATTAAGAGTTGATCTGCTGATTTAGTACCGATTTTCCTTCTGTTATCTGTAATTGCTATAGCTTCAGTAATGCGTGTCTACCCATTCTGCGCCCTATACAAGTACTTGGTTTTTATGTGAACTATTCTCTGAAAAGTCACAGTGAATTCTTTGTTTTCATGTTCATTTTTAGGCACTCCATCTTCAATTGTCTGAAAGTTTGTCAAATGATAGAGCCCTACTATTTGATTGATTGATTGTGTTCGGTTAATGATTATTGCTACATTTGATCAGGTGGCACAATCATTTGAATCCCAATATAAAAAAAGATGCTTGGACACTGGAGGAGGAACGGGCACTCATAGATGCTCATCGGATCCATGGTAACAAGTGGGCTGAAATTGCTAAGGTCCTGCCCGGAAGGTAATGAATTCAGCATAAAGATCAAATTTCTGCTGATCGGTTCGACAATAGTAGTAATCTAAAGGGAAAAATTAATGGTTTTTTTCATCAGTAGAATAAAGAGAAAAGAGATCTGATGGCTTCTTTATTTAAGTATTTCTATTAAAAATTACTCCTTCAATCCCGTTTTTTGAATATGGTTTTCTCAAACATGTCCTAAATATTATTTACCTCTAAAAATTGTGGTGTATAGTACTTTTATGTAGTTTCTAGTATGTATTTTCAAAGATCAGAGAAATGGCGTGCGCAATCACCCCAAGATTAGATGGTTTGGCTCTTGTACACTGAACCAGTCATTCTTTTGGGACTATAGGGAACACAACGAGTTCCTGAAGATTGTAGGAGCAACTGCTCATCAGTTATTCTTCCTTTTTGCTCTAAAAATCCCAACTAATTTTGATAGACAGGACACAATGGAAGAAAAAGATCCGTATCGGTGATATCTACTAGTTGGGAATAGGTTTTAAACTTGTTAGAGAACTTCCAATATTATTAATTATTTTTACTATCAGCAGTTGTGCTTAAATTGAGAAGTGAGGAGATACATATAACCAACCCCAACTTGTTGGTATAAACAGCGTCAAATGCATTTAAACGTCCAATGTGACTTGGGGCCATAGTCCATACTCTAAGCGTGCTACTATTGCAAAGCCATAGTTATAAGTTTATAAAGCACATTGTCACCTTTCGTTATTTTTCCTGTTATATGGTGTATATTTTTACCCAAGATTTGTTTACCTATAGTAATCGTACTAAAAGAATTAATAAAAGAGATACTTACTAGTGAATATTTACATGTATATTTATTGATTTTGGATGTCATATTGACTGAAAAAATATCAGTCCAAACCATAAATCATTTGACTTGTTTGGACATTTGGCTAGTGTTATCCATTGATAGCCTTTTATATGGGCTGTCTATGCTCAGGAGTAGACAAATATCATCCGCCTTGTGTTTGGCTTTTAAGATGGCTAGGGATTGAAGTTAAAGCAAGACTTTTCTGCCAATCAACCTTTATAACAACATTATGTGTGTCCGCTACCATAGTCTATAAAGGAATTCGCAAGAGTGTCGAATCAATTCTTAGTACCCTATGTTTCTTGTTAACTGCAACTCTTGCTCATTCCCGGGTCTAATGTTTCACAGGACTGATAATGCAATCAAGAATCACTGGAATAGCTCTTTGAGAAAGAAATTAGACTTTTATTTAGCTACTGGAAACCTTCCACCTGCTACTAGGGACGGCCTGCAAAATGGTTGTAAGGACACTACTGAAACAGCTAAAGCAGAGGAGTTACTTGCAGCTTCATCAGGAACTGCAGATATGTGTAAAATAGAAAATGGATGGCAGGTCGCAGAAATCAGTGCTTCAAATGGTGGTCCTCAAACTGACTCCACTGATTCTGAAGTCGTCAGGTTGGAAGCTCAATCACCAGAAATAGATGCTATTCGACACATCCAACCAAGTACAGAATCAGAAAACATGTACGAAGGACGGAGAATAAATAGTGTTGTAGATCGACTAAAAGTTGTTGAAGCACCATTTCGATGTGAAATCCCTGCATGTGGTACGTTATACTATGAACCACCAACATCAGAAAGTTGTATTCCACTGGATTCAGATCTTCTAAATATCCGCTGGGCACAATGTGAATCTGATGCAAGTCCAAGCCCGTCACCAAATGGTTTCTTCACTCCACCTAGTACAAAGAGTAGTAGCCTATATGCACAAACCCCTGAATCCGTACTGAAAATTGCTGCTAGAAGCTTCCCGAATACGCCTTCCATATTAAGGAAGAGAAAGACTCAAGCCAAACTTTCCACGCCAACTAATAAAATGGGGAAATCAGATGGAGATTTCTGCAAGGACAAACCTATTGATGCGTGTGAAGAGATCCTTCCAAGGAATTCTTCCAATGGTATTGGGCTATACAATAGTCAAGCATTTAATGCCTCTCCTCCCTATCGATTAAGGTCTAGACGAACATCTATCTTCAAGTCTGTGGAGAAGCAGCTTGAATTTACACTCGACAACGAGAAGCATGATATAAGTAATGGAATCAGTGAGTCAACTGTTAACGATATATCACATGCAGCCAAAGATTGTTCACAGTCAGCTAAGAAGGATACAGTAAGTTCCATCTTTTCCTTTTTCTTGTCGTTCATTTTTGTCCCCTTGTTTTTGGATGAGTTGGGAGTTGGGTGGCTGGGGTGGAGCAACTAATTGCGATGGTAGCTGTCCCTCTTTCTCCTTACACTAGGGTGTGTAGAATATCATGCCTTTCCAAATGAAGAATTTTTTCCTCTTAACATTTTAGTGTCTTGAATTGTCTTAAAAGTTAAGAATCTGTCCTCTGATACAGTTGATTGGATAAAACGTTGGATATCAATATGCATGTCAAGTTTTTGAGAATAGGCAGGCGTGTTACTAGCTACTAACCCGGTCCTTATAAAAAAAAAATAGCTACCAACGCAGCATGTTGCCTTTCAAAGCTTGACGTTCTGAGGTGGTATTGATGCCAATTTCTTCATTGTCTAACTTAGAAAGGAATGGTGTTGGAACAATTTACGGATGGGGATGTCAACAATGCAGGTAAAAAAGACAAGGGTTCGATATCAAAATTTTATGGGCAAAACGCAAAGCAGTTCCAAATAAATAAGGAATAGACAACCAGATAGACAACATTGAAACCAATCTGGATTGACCGAGATGTTGTGTGCAAAACATGGGGAAAAGGGGCAAAAATAGAAATTCTTGAAGTGCATCTCTTTAACACAAAACATCTTCTTATGTATCTAAAAGCATTTTATTTCCAATAGTATAATAGTTCACTTGACAACACGTTTAGTAAATTATCATGTAGTAGCCCTTTTTGGAGATGCTATACTAAACAAGAAGGGTCTAATTCCATTTCGGTAAATACAGTCAAGCGTAGATATGTCACTACAGTAAGTGAATGGTATGTCACTTCTGGCACATCTTTCTTTACATGCAGTGGACATGCCCATAATTTTGTTTTAAGGACGTCACATCCAGATCCTCTAATGCTGCTTCAGCTACTGGCATTACTGACAGAGTTTTCTGATATGTGACTGCCGCATTTTGCTGCCATGTTTTCTTATACACATTCTTGTGTATTTTCTGTAAAAAGTCCTAGTTACTTGTTCTTTGGACCTACATCTTCAGACAAACGGCATCTTATCTGTGTATTGCAAAATATTATTTACTCATGGATGTCCTTTTTCACTATTGGGCCTTCTATTTTTTTTGGTTGATTAGGATAAGAAGGTGGAATAAGTGCTGAACACTTGCAATGTCTAACAGTGGCTGCTATAGGAAATGGAAGTTCAGAAGTAATCAGTAACATCAGAAGAATTTTAGACACTTCTTGAAACGACACAAGACTCGATCTGTCATATACAGTTTTGTAGATCTCTTCGCTTGCATCACAATTATGTGCAGGTTATTGACTATTGGTTATTCGTAGATGGTACAGTCGATTTCTATTATACGTTGAAAGATTGTTAAAGCTGCAATTGATTTGTACAGAACTGCTTTAAACAGGTCTTCGGAATAGTTTCACACTGAAAATAGTCGCTTAATAAGAGCAGTTGTCTAGTTACCTGGTATATCATAGTTCATACCATTCAGAAAGTAAGATTACCAGCTTTTCTTGACTCATTTGATCCCTTCTAATATTTGTTTCGTTCCGTCGTTGTGTCACTTGGGTCTATCGGAAACAGTCTCTCTGCCCTTCCAGGGGTGGGGGTAATGTTGCGTACATCTTACCCTCCCCAGACCCCACTTGTGGGAAACTACTGGGTTTGTTGTTGTTGTTGTTGTTGTTGTTGTTGTGTCACTTATTCTCTTAATTTTTCCCTTAAATGTGGTGTATTAAGATAATTTTCAGTTTTAGTTCTTCGGATTGGGAGATTCTGAGATAGTTTGGCATGTAGTAGGTTTTACTCCTTTAGGCATCCATTAAATGCCTTATCACTGCTAGTTAACTCATACTACAGTCTACAGCCAGAATTAACTCTTTCTCAAAAAAAAACTCTTTTTACCCTCTTTTCTTGTGAAACTTCTAACGTTTCTTGAATAGGAAAACTTTAAATGAAGACCTGATCCAGCTTTTCCTGACGAGTGATGACACCTTTTTTTTTAATAACCTGACAATCTTAGAGATATATTTTACATACTAGTACAGAAGTTCCTATAAAAATGGAAAATGTGTGCGGTTTGAACTTTTAATTTACATAGTAGGAAATAACAAATTAGGTTTACGATGGAATCTAAAAATCGATCACTGACCCAATTTAAGTAGCTCTGCAGGATGATTGAGTTCAGATTGAGTTCAGTACTTCCTAATATAAAATTATTGACTTTAGATATATAGTAATATAGAGAAGACAATTGTTTCAAGCACGACAATGGAACCGTCCCTTATTTCCAAAGTGACAAAAATGGAACCGTCCTTATTTTCAAAGTGAGGAGGAAGGGCTACTCACATTTCATTCGATGGTCTCCTTCGTTACCCATAAAATGTGGAAGTATCGACGTAATTTCGTAGTTACTTGATCTGAATGTTAACATAGTTTTCTACATAGGAGCCATATTTTTTTATTTCAATCGGTAAAAGGTATAATTTATTGATGAAACAGCACTAAGATTGTGATGAATATGTACAACAGGAGCCATATTTTTCTTTTCTGACAATCGATAAATCCCCTAAAACAGTAGTGCGCAATTACAAACTCGATGGATAATAAGCTGCACATCTATCCCCTAAAACAGTAGTGCGCAATTACAAACTCGATGGATAATAAGCTGCACATCTAACTCCATTTAAATACTGGAGCCATATTTTTTATTCTGAAAACCTATAATTTTGAGTACACAAAAATCCCGGATTCCCTCATGTATCCAATGTGGTATTGTTAATCAATGAGGCACGGAACAAGGTGTACGATTTTAGGAGCAAAGCAAGCTAACAAAAAATGAGGAAGGGAATTTGAATATTATCGCTCGATTATAGCATATTTCTGTATAGGTCTGTATATACACAATTCATCCATTGCTTGATGACACTTGAATCATCATTGACATAAGAACAGAGGAAGCCAAAGGGTAAGACTAGATTGTTGCGCACACATAACAATCCATATGGCTAGATATTAATATACACATGAAGGATAGCAAAGCAGTTATCATATATTTATTCACAATTTCTGTACAGCTAGGTGCTGACAACCTGCCGCTCCATCTCCACCACCGAGTCATTTTCATGGAATACAGGCATCCTATTCCGATGGGCAATTCCTAATCCTGCCACATGAAATTTTAACTAATTAACATAAAGGAAGAGATGCACGATAAATCAGCATCTCAAGACTCCACACGAGGAAGTATTTCACACGAAAAAAAGGAACATAAAATATGAACAACAGGAGTGGTTTGCAGTCAACTAGAAAAATCAATACAACCACCCCAAGGAAAAAGAGAGGGTGATGCAACCTTGGGCAAATTATAGCGAGGGCTTACACAAGCTTACTCTAAGCAATGTTATGAGAAGCTATACAGGAGGGAAATTCGGTAGAGAAGCTTGCAGATACAGATTGCCACTTGCTTATTCCTAAAGCAATTTTTTAAAATTCAAATTAAGTACCTTTTGCAGTAGCAGGAGTTAATTTACTAGCCCAAAGACATGTCATTGCACCCAACTTTTTCTATAATCGATCTTTATTCTTGTAAAGCATCTCAATTTAAGTCCTATACATCTTACATTGCAACAGCAACAACTATGCCAGTCCCAAATAAGCTGAGGTCGGTTATATGAATCCTCACTGCTTCATTTAACCAATGTCATCATCATGCCAAATAAAATAAAGGTTAAAAATAAGTGTTTATATATATGGTCTATAAATTACAACAACAACCCAGTGTATTCCCACAAGTGGGGTCGGGGGAGGGTAGGATGTATGCAGCCTTACTCCTACCCTGGACGGGCAGAGAGGTTGTTTCCGATAGATCCTCAACTAAAGAAAAGATGAAAGCAGCACATATGGTCTATACATTGCTCATATCAATATGCTGTAAACAGACCTCGACTAAAAATTGAAATGTAAGAATGCATTGCTATATTAGTAGCCTGTTATTGCACCCCAGGCTTACAGGTCCTACCTATAGGAGTGCCAACTTGGAAAATGTCACATAATCTGATGCCATTACATAGTAAAAGATGCCAAATACTCATTTGCTAGCAAGTTACAACAAGGTGGTCTGAGACATTTCAAGCGTTTTAGCGTCTTTTGATTACGTACAATTAAGCAATCCTAGTTTAGCAGAAAGCTCCAACAGTAAGCCTATCCTACCCAAGTAATCTAACGCACCTTAGAGCTACAATTTTATTGATACTTTGAGGCTCCACCTGTCACTATATTGATGTAGCATGTTTCAGGAACTAAATAGGTCAAAATTTTAAAATATTTGAATACTACAAGTGGATGTTAAAGATTCTGATGACGAAATAATCACAAGAACACTGTCTGATAAGCCTCGCTGATGAAACAAGCAAATGAAATTGCTTTTGTTCATAGTGCAGAATAGACAAAGCGAAAATTTGGTTGGGG